GTGTGTAAACTGAGAGATTTTTTATTTCAAGTTCCCATGTTTGATAAAACCGTTGTGTTCCTAGTTTTTAAACTATTCAGGTTGGTCTTTTTTCTCAATTAACACCACTGGATAATTTGAAATTTTGATCACGTAAACTCTTTGCGCGTAAATTTACTGAACTGCTGCCCCTGTTTCCGAGGAGCTATCGTTAATGGATGTTTACTGTGAGAATTTTATATTCATTAAGTAACTAGCTTCAAGAGAACTGCTACCACAGGGACGTGAGTGACTCCTTAGAAATCTCGGACTAATTGGTCTAAAAGTCGCCGCCCATTGCAAAAACTAGAAGATGAATCGTTTCGGAAATGTGTTACTAAGAGTTACCATTGTTAAACACTCTAGCCTTTTTTCCCACCTTCTTAGCCGTACAAGCTTGTGTTTTGAGTGCATTCAGATTGCTTCCATCAAGTTTTACAGTCCATGTCCAGAATTCTGAGTTCAGGTAGGTGGGATCAAAAGCTTATATTTGAATTTTTCATAGGGATAATTCACTCTGTGTAAACTCTTAATACTATAGTTAACCAAGAGTTATTCAACTGTGCTTCGTTAGAAATTCTTAGATGCTTTTGCGTGCAACGTGGTTTGCATTTTGCGCTTCATTACGGTGGTATAACAGGCAAATTTCAGCTATGAATGGTTACCGTTTTTGAACTGTTTTCTAGCCAACTGCAGTTTGTGTCATGAAAAACAAACTTTGAGAAGCACCAAGCATTGCTCTGATGTCCGCGTTTGTTCAAAAAGGCAGTGAACGGTAACAACTGTGGCGTTCGACATACATGAGAAGAAAATGATACTTTTGCTGCACCTAGTTCTTCAGACACACAAGGACCATACACCTTTTTTGCCGCACATATTCATCGGTTTTGCAAATACGCGACTTCTACCTATTATCCAAGATAGAATGAAGGGTTAATTTTTCAGAAGGCTAAGTACTAACTAGAGGTCAAAGTTGTATGACTACATGGAGAAAAAGCAATTTTGATTAACCGAAACTCAATGGGTGCCGTGTTGTGGGGTTTTAATATCTTCACTTACTGACTTAAGCCGGGTTTTCACCGCGACGTTCCACTCAAAAAACATCTGTGATGCTCGTAACCGAAATTAGGCTAGTCGAACTGTCCATGTACAACGTTGACAGGCCCCATGAATTAAGTCCGCCATGCGTTTTTCTCCCATTTCAGAATTCGGTTTGAGGTTGTTTTATCAACGGAAACGTGTCAAATGCCATTTCTCATAGTTAAGTGATTCTTGACAGTGTTATCTTGCGATAGTCCTGCAGAAATTCAAGGTCACAGTTGATTGTAACAAAGATGTATCGGTGGATAAGTTGATGTTTCCTGGTCCACAAATAGAGTGAAATATATACTGGAGAATAGTCCCAGCTCAGTCGCATTTACAAATTTGCCGACATGGCAGTAGTCACTTTGACAAGCAGAGAGTAAAGTCAGAATTATTGGTTGGTGATCAGGTGGATTTTGATCTGACCTGGTTTGACTTGCAAAAGTTTTGTCACCGCAAGAATAGACATCTTCAGTACGCATTTTGGTTGGTACCTTCTGTTTGCCCGCGCACGTTTATAGAGCATTTAATGGCTATCTCTTAACCCTTTACGTGATTAACTAGTTGTGTGATAGCGTTTTTTTTAATTCTTAGGTCCATTCGTGATCTGTGTTGCGTTGAGGTCGATTGATCATCCTGAAACCTTCTAGTTTTAGTAGTTTCCTCTTTCATTTTGATTGGCCTCTTTCTCACTTTGCATTGCGTTGTGGCCCAACTTTGTTTTTCGGGAATGGTTGGCTGGTTACAACGCCCTGTTTTCACCACCGTATTAACTGGCATCTTTGCGTCTGTCGGTTAATTTGGTACTTTGGTTTATTGCTTGGGACCCTCTTCCAAGCCAAGCGGTGTCCTGGTCTGGTTGCATGTTTGGTTCAAGGCTACGTGATTCTTGCATTCTCTCGTGCTTAGAGGTTGATAAATAGGGTTAATTTCAATATGCTTGTTGATAGCTTCTTCGGTGAAGTATCATGCTTCTCTAAATTCGCGTTCTTTCTTCGTTCTCTCTTGAGCCAGTGGTCAAACGACATTCCAGTCTAACTCGTCTCCTTCTTGATCTTTGCGCAGGAAAATTGATCGAGGAAATTGATCGTATCTTTTTGTATTTTGGTGGAGAGCTTCCTTCGTGTTTGCGGAGGACACTGTCGAACCCAAAGCGTTTGCAGGATTGTAAGCCAGTGTCGTGTTGTGCTGTTGTAAGAGCCTCACGGTTATTTCGGCGCTTTCCGTGATGTACAGGAGTGTGACCCGTTTGCTTCCGTTTTGTGCCGTTCTGATAGTGGAGTTTGGCTTACTGAGTGATCTCCAAATGAAATTTATGGGGTATCCTCTTCTCTGGAGTAAATTGTACAGTCGTCTCTCTTCTTTATTCTTGGATTTTGTTATGCTGCAATGTGTTTTGATTCGTTTGAAAAGTGCTCGAATGCAGCTTTGTTTGTGACAAATTGGATGGTTGCTGCGGTAACTCAGAATTCGATCCATATGCGTTGTAGCTGTCCGTTTGCTAATTTAGTAATGAGAACCTTCAGAAATGTCAGTATTCCGTTGATCTATTCTTTGAATGTAGAGTTGATGTCGTCAAAAAAGTTATTTAGCAGTCAGCTCACTCTTTGCAGTTCGTTCTTTCGGATTATCACAGAAACGTCGTCCACGTAACTGGATTTATATCGGGCAATACAATTTTCTTCATCTTTCGCATCGGGATTTCTGCAATAAATCCTGAAATTGGGGACACCATGGGTGTTGATCATAGTTGTTCGTATTGTAGATTGTAGAAAGATTGTAGACCACCGTTCTCGGGAGTGCACTACTGGTCGTAGCGTTATTGTTTTTTGTACTTTAGCAGTCCGTAGAAGTGGAGAGTGGTCAAACCTTCAATATCCCTCTTTTATAATCTTATGGAGATCTTGGAGTTTCTTTAGGTTCTTTTTGATTTTGTTTGCTAGTTGCTTGCTTCAGCCACGTTCCAAGCAGTGATATGTGGTTGTGTAGTTCAGTAGTGCTCTCGCTATGTTGATGTAGTCTGGTATGTCCGTGATCGCTGTCAGGCATCCCTTGTCCGCTAGTAGAATCACTATGTTTTTATCCCTCTTCAGATTGTTAATCGATTCTTCCTCTTTGTCGAATAACACCTTGTGAGGCTTGCTGCATGTGATGGCCGGAATGACGGTTCGCCGAATTTGTTGTTGAGCGTTTTCGTCGGGTCCGACAGTCCAGCTAAACATTCTGAATTTGTCGCGTCATTGAAGTTGAAGTTTAGTCCTTTGATGAGAACGTTTTCTTCAGCTTCTGTGAAATGCTTTTTACACAGATTTCTTATCCAGGCATCGTTGTGATTGCTGTTGTACTCAAGGGTTCTAATCAGCCAGGAGAATTTGTGTTCTAGATGAGCTTTCTTGTTTCTAGCAGTGGATGTAACTATTCGTTCTATCCCCGTGCCGAGTTGCTCCACGGGGCCTGGTTCCGTTGTCCTCAAGCAAACCCCTTTATGCTTGTTGGCTATTCTCTAGTATTTTCTGATGCGTTTGTGAGCGGCTGTACTCATGAATCTACGCGTCCGTCGACCATCTGCCAAGCTATTATCCAAGCTTGTGGATGGGTTACTGGAGGTCGATAGGTTACGGTACGTGGGAGAAGGCATTTCAGCAAGCATTCATGAAGGAAGTAGAGTTGTTGTCGTGTGGTGTGGAAGCGGCAGGCAATAGTCGCCTATCGACGGGCTTTTTTTAGCATAGAACGCCCGGAATTTTCGGTAATGTGTCGAAATAATAGCAGTTCGGGTGAGTTTATTGGTTGATGAACAGGTGGCTGTTGATCTGTTCGCCGAGCTTCGATCAGCAACCAACTACCACAATCTAGCTTGATCAACAACCAATAAACTCACCCGAGCTACCAATATCTTGTCACATTACCAACAGCCAGAATTATGTTACATGCATAACCATCTAAGGCCTATTGGACAGTGATTTCGGTGAATAAAACTCCAACCAATAGGTTAAATTATTTCATAACAGTTTCCTGGAACACCCCTCTTTGTATTAACGAAAAGTAAATGCGTTTTATGGTTGGAGAAAAAGCAGTTTAGCCAGACAGCGTATCAACGAAAAATCCGACCAAAATTACAGCTCACCGCCATTACCGGTTGTTTTTTTTCAGGGTCCTTATCTAATTAATCTTGTGCCATGGAAAACAGACTGGATCCAGAGCACTGCAGCTCTCCCTGGAAAGTTTGATTTGTTTTTGCAGACGGGGTTTCAATTTGCATACCCACTCTCATTGAACGAACAACTCCTACTGTCTTATTCACATTTGGTGCAAAGTTTTGTTTGCTGTTAATGCTATTTCCATTGGGACGTCCAAAAATCTCAAGCGTTCAGTTTCACAGATTCTAACTGCAAGGCGGGAATTGGAATATTGAAGATGACGCTTGCCTAAAAAGAGAGAATCCGATCCACATACCCATACGAAGGTGGAATTTTTCCAGCATTGGTCACCTGGCTTTGTACGTCTATAAGGTCGATGCAACAGATATTGACGTACGCGTTAGGGACCTGTACCCATGGATTTTTATGTTTTCTGTTCTTTGCTTAATGTCTGCGTGACCTTTAGCCACCTCTCAGTTGCATGGAATTACCGTAAATAAGCTTTATTGTTTCCAACTGACTTACTGCTTTTGTTGGTTAGCCACCAGATTTCAAGAGGCATCTGGTCATTTAAAGCTGCAATTTCAACGAGTAAACTAGACATAGTCTTCCTCAGACACAAACGTCAATGGAGCAGATAAAAAAATACAAGCACTGATATAATATGAGATTTGTCTAATGGAGGTGTTTGAAGGACAAATCGTAGGTGTGTTCTGTCTTAAACGCGGTTTTTCAAGCACTCTTCTTTGTATGGGGAAATTAACTCTCAAAATAGGCCACTTTTGACCAAACGGTCGATAGTACTTTGATGAAGGAATCTCTGTCTTCGGCGTCTGATAATGAAAACAGGAAATCTAAACGGTACATCGTTTTGAAGGTAATGTTTAAGCATTTCATCCATTCTCCCCAAGCGCTCCTTATCCATTTGGATTGCACTCACTTTCGAGACCACGATTAGTCCATCACCGCATTCAGTGTGATAATCAGTCAGTCCTGATATCAAGCATTATCCAGTGACAGTTCAATTGCACCTTGTCGATGGCTTTCTGTCTTACGGACGCCGTAATCCTAAACACATACAATACATTTTGTTCTTCTGTACTGGTAGGATGGAAACACTTCATGCCGGGTGCTATTGTCACCCACATTTTCGGAAACCGACGCACACACGTCATGACGCTAAACACATACAATACAATTTTTTCTTCTGTACTGGTAGGATGGAAACACTTCATGCCGGGTGCTATTGTCACCCACATTTTCGGAAACCGACGCCAAATGCCATTCAACTTTGAAATCATTTACAAAGTCCCAACAGAAGGAATAGGGCACCAGAACAGCGTTTCTCGGCTAACACAGAGTCAAGCACCATTCCGTGCGTCCAAGTGATCAGGATTCACACTACCCTTGGTCTGGTCACAAACGGACGGTTCGGATTTTCCATAGAACAAGGGCTTAACTGTGCCACATAAAGCCAATATTAAGTCCTCTACTTGAAGACATTTTAATTTGATTATTGGGTGAAAAATGACAGACCAACTTGTGCTGTATCATGTTCAACTGCAATGAATAAATGGAGAGTTATCGTATTCGTTGGTCGGTCAGCGCGCCGTCTACCAGTTTGGTCGGATAATTATCGATCTCCAGTTATATTTTGTGCTCCGGCTGACGCACCTCACGCTTAATTTTCTAAACTATACCGTACAAATTTTCCAGGGTGCATCTACCTGGGTTACACGATGTGTTTCCTTCCTAATTTTTATGGGAGAACAGGTGGTTCATCCATAAACAAGAGTAAATGGCCGGCTTTCTGACTATACAACAGTTGGTTAAATATTTTTATGCATGTTACAGGGCAATATCATTCGGATGCATCTCTTGATGCATCGAATACACACTCAGATAAAAACTTGACGAGCTGATGAATGAATCGGCAATGGGCTCATCAAAATCCCTTGTACTGGATGTGTGCCTAATTGTTCTCCGTTGACGTAATGATTTCATGTATGTAAACTCGAAGCACTAAATATAAATAGATAATGAGCAATGATCTGCCTGGAGCTTGACCCCTTTGGTTTTGGTAAACAAATAAAATTACCTGTGCGGAGGAAAGCGTCCCGTTGCGGCGACTCGATGATAAGCTGAAGAAATTTTACAAACTCTGTTCATATCAAAGCAGTCTGAGTGGTAGTTTTTGAAAAGGAGACGTGGTGGGCTAAATATTTCCGACGATATAGACAAAACCGAAATGATGTTTCACCAACTTTCATTCTGAATTAGAGCGTACACAACTTGATTAGACACGAGTAGAGTTTTACCGGGTTGGATTCATCAAGTCAGTGTAATGATGTCGATCGACAATCCCTTTCGCTGACAGCTTTCAAATTTCACTCAAACTGCAATCGTTAGCATGTCAAGTTTGAAAAAGGCGAAGTTAATCTTCTGTATAGCCTGTGCCATAATTCCGGTAAGAGCTGTTGGATGGTCCTCCTCTGGGACCCAAATAAAGTCAAGCCACTGAGACATGAATGCGTAAGCCTTAATAGCCGACTGCTGTTGAGTCGTTGGTGCCGTTAGTGGAGGCCTGGTGCAGCTCCAAAATGCAGAATCTCTTACCCGCTTGGTTTCACCATTCTAAGACGGTGAGTTTAAATCAAAATAAAACTTGCATTAGATTGATTTGCAAAACTAACCGTCGTCTGTTTCATTACCTAATATCTCTAGTTCTGTTCTTGAAGTATGCAAACATGGGGACATTTTGATGACTTGTGCCCGAGTGCAGAATATCAATGTATAGTCATCGCAGAAATGGTTAGCGGTAAAACTTCAAGGTTGAGGCCACGAAGACAAATTAGGTGGAAGAGGCTCTCCAATGTAGGGTCTCGGTAAATTGGTTATTGGCTAATTGAACTCAGGCAGGTATAATCGTTTTTCCGTGCAATGTGGGCTTCAAGTGTGTCCAGAACACTGCGCAAAACGGGATGGAAGCCTTCAGTGAGTGAAGCTGAGCGGAATTACGAAGGGACAGAAAAACAGTCTTCTAAGTGGTGCCTCTAACAGACCATTAGGCACCCTTATTCTTACTAGTAATGACAAAACTATTCCGATCGCTTCCCAGGACTGAAGGCAAGTCATCAAGTCCTGTCGAATAAGTTTCTGTCTACGTGATGTCATATATTCGAAGCTGATCAAGTGCCATATCAATGAGTTATATGAGGCCGTATGTAACTTTTTCTGTCTCTCTACTGCTAAGCTCTGGGGCCAGTTAATACTCTGTAAGCGGTCATTATTGCAGGCTCGGTATAGCTTGTGGTCCAACAAGTGATGGGCCGTTTTACTGAGCTGAAAATAATTTCGTAAGGTTTCGTCGAACGGAGTCAAAAGAGCCATCTGGCCGATTCTGGCTACTAATTGCCCTACAAGTTAACTAAAATATTTCTTAATATCAAAGTAGTAAAAGTGTGGTGAAACGTTTTGAAAGGGGTAAGGTACATACAAGTTGCTCATTACATTTCATCCTCGGCTTAAGAGTAAGAATGACAGATACTACTTTGCACTGAAAATATTTATAAAAAGCGGTAAAGATGCTGACAAAATGTTGCAGAAATATGGGGTAGTTAAGCACATTCTGGTCTCACTAAACAAAGAAAAATAAACTAAAAATTAATTCGCTGGCGTGGTTGACTCAAATGTTTAAGCAATAAAATTATTTTTCCAAACCTGTAACTTTCCAGTCGAGGAGCCATATAAAATGGACTCCAGTTGTCAAAAGGACAGCTTTTCAAATGTGACCCCGCTTGGGAGAATAAACCACATGGAACTGAAGAGGATAATATTCTTGCTTTATTGAATAGCTGATGTACTGCCCACAATGAGGTGTTATAGTAAAATAATCCATTCTTGTTTTCCGGACTCGTTAACTGGTTGTTATTCAACAAACCGCGCAGGTGGCATATCAAATAAGTAAATAACCTAGCACTTATGGGCCAATAGGATTTTTTGGAAAATTAGCCATCCATATGCGCTTGGCATTATATAATCAAACTTTCCTTTGAAAGTGATACGGTTTGAGGCTGGAATGGTGCAACGCGCAATGATTTAACGTTACTTAAACTGCAGTTGAGATTTAGCTTTATTGGTGCAGTCACTCTGTGCTAGAATCACTGTACGACTATTTTATCCTTGTTTGGAATAATGGGTAATGCATATTACGAATCTCGATGTGGATTCAAACCTGTAACATCTAGGCTACGAGCTGGATGGTTGATCAGCAGTGTGATTAACCTACACAGACAGTGACTCATCCTTCAGTCATGAACTCCACCTAATATGTTGAAATCTGAGTGGCGACTTCTCAGATGGAAAGTTCACCGGTCGTGTAAATTATTCGGTCGAGAGAGCTGCTTGCACCCCGTAGTACTTTGTACGAAGATAAATATCTAACAGATCGACATACTAGCGGTTGGATACAAATTTTTCGGAAGTGTCGAGGTAATTGCAAACGCAGAGAATTTGTTAACTGAACAATAGTATTTGTTTTCTTGTAGGTGAAAAATTCTTTCTAGTGTTTTGGTAGTCTCGCCGCCAAAAAATGGTATGTGGACACTCGATTTGTAATTTCTGAATGTGACTTTGAAGGTAAAAATCGATGAGGAAACAGAAAAATCTTTCGCGCGTACGCATAGGCATATAATTAAATTTCCGTTCTTCAATGGGCAGATGCGTTTCGGAAACGTCCCCAGAAATAGTGGGCAGAATATCATACTAATAACATAAGGATACTATAATAATATAATAGTAGTGGCTATATAAGATCACGTTCCATAGAAGCTCTTAAAAAGGTACAGGATCTATTTTTCGACAACATCGTTGTTCCATGATCAGTAATGGGAATTTTCCAGTCAAAGGCTTGGATGAGTGATAAGCCGCAATAATTTTCTGAGTGCCGTGACATCCTGAGGCCGTTATAAATGAGTAGTTTGCAAAAAAGATGTTAGTCAAAATGTCAACGTGACATCTTTCATGCAAATTATTTTGGAGATTCCGGTTGAAAAATATCAGTTTACACTTCCTAACCTACGGCAGGCGTTTGTACATCTGTCAGGCAAATACAAAAACTCCCATGTTTTATGCAATCCTGTGTGGAAAAACTAAATTTGTCTATTTTCGCCACAACACGTTGCATGACAGACAAACGAGTGCTTGGGATGGAATCACTAGGTTCTCCAGTCTCCACCAACTTGGTCTTTGTGGACCAGTGCACTGACACAGTTGGAAATTATACACTCCAAGTGCCAGAAGAGGGCAAATTATCCCAATCTCTATCAGCTAAGCGTGGCTTCCTAGGTGGTTTTATATTTTCAGGGAAATTTCATGGTTGTCCAACCATATTTTATGAGATTCTCAAAACCAGACATTATATGTCACCATTTGATGAAGATCGCAAACTGGGTTAAAAATACGACCCCGATTGCTTTAAAAGCAAACTCATCACGATTTTTGTTGATCCCAGGGCTATGATTAGGATGTAAAAAAGAAATGGTAGCAGCCAAGAAGGAAATACTTAGCTCGGAATTTTGAAATTCGTTCACAAGAAAATGTGACGAAAAAATAAGGCTTTCTTAGTGAATTTGTTTTGCGAATTTTTAGGCATCCCCGAAACCTTTGCAAGCGAGTCAAACCAAACAACTCATTTGAGTAAAAGAGTATTTTCCAACGAATCATCCATTCAATTTCCCCATGGGCTTCGAAGTTATGGTTGTTATGTTTGATATTTTCGTAAATTTACAAGACGCCTAATTGAAACACAACTTTTGGTGGATAACTATTACTG